CCATCTTACATTGTTCCTCTAGTGGTTATCCTCGACCTGATGTTGTGTGGAGTAAAAACAACGGTACATTACCACACAAACGAGCAGTAGTTGATAGCACTGGTAAACTTCATATCAAACACGTGACTACCAATGACTCAGGAATCTATCAGTGTAAGGCTTCTAATCTTCTTGGCAGAACACAAACAACAGCAAAACTCCAAGTGAAATTCCGTCCTCGACTTACCTTGGGCAGAGGACCAATTTACACAAAAATTGGTGATGACATTCGTCTACCTATGTGTCACGTGACAGGATTTCCTCTGCCAAAAGTCACGTGGTCCAAGGCTATTGGTTCTTTACCTAAAAGTCGTTCTGCTGTTAAGGAGGGGCAACTTGCTATACTTAAATCGAAAAAACATGACTCAGGGTTATATGTTTGTAAAGGTGAAAATCTTCTCGGTTCTGCTGTAGGATCAGTTGTTGTAAATGTTATCGATCTGCCTGTGTTTGTTGTCAAGCCTCTATCGTCGTATATTGCCCCTCCTGGTTCAACCGTAATGCTTAACTGTACCGCTAAAGGTGACCCTCAGCCTGTAATAACTTGGAGAAAAGACAATGGTGTTCTTCCTATTGGAAGATTTGAATTGAGGGATGGCTCTTTGATTATAAGGAACGTCAAGAAAACAGATTCGGGTGTGTTCGTGTGCACTGCTACGAGTGCTGGAGTGTTTGATACAGAATCTAGAACAACGTTGACTGTACAACATGAGGATTGCTCAGAGCTTTACAAATCAGGAGAGAGACGTAACGGTGTGTACACAGTTCAACCAGACAATCAGCCTGCATTTCAAGTCTACTGTGACATGACAACTGACGGCGGGGGTTGGACTGTGATCCAAAGAAGACAAGATGGATCGGTTGATTTCTATCGCAATTGGCAGCAATACAAAACAGGTTTTGGAAACCTCAATGGCGAGTTTTGGTTGGGTAACGATTACATCCATCGACTGACAGCAAGAACAGCGTCGAGTCTGCGCGTTGAGTTAGAGGACTGGGACGGAACCAGGAAATATGCCAAATATGGTAGTTTTAGTGTTGGCGATGAATCAGACAAATACAGGCTGAGGGTTGGCTCGTATTCAGGTACTGCTGGGGACTCGTTATCATATCATAACAACATGGCGTTTACTACAAAAGATAGAGATAACGACAAGGACAGTCGTAACTGTGCTACTCAATATATCGGTGCCTGGTGGTATGAGGGTTGTCATCATTCTAATCTGAATGGAAAGTATCTTGGAAACAAGTTGTCATCTCAGGGAATAACGTGGTACCATTTTCATGGCAAATATCAAAGTTTGAAAACTTCCAGCATGAAGATACGTGCAAATAACTTTTAACAAGATGAACACTTGTTGGAATTTCTTTACCACGATTGACAAAAAGGCGTGGTAAATCGACAATGTTCGCCATTATTCGTGTGCAGCGGTCGCGCGCATAATATATAAATCTTTCAGAATGGCGGAATTTTCGAATTGTGACAAATTGATTTATCTTGACTTTTGTCCGGTCTTTGATGTTTTTTAATTGACTTGTGAATAAATGTGTCAGAGAGCTCGCGGTGTAACGTAAGGAATGAAAATCATTCTTTATCTCATGTCACAAACCATCCTACGTCTTCAGTATAACTCCTTACAATTGAGTGCAAAATAGTGATTTAGATTGCGTGACTTAGTTCGTGATGCTTTCAATACTTGACTTTGTGACATGGCCTGTCACACAATGAATTTGGGTGATATTGTATATAATTTAAACCGCTTTAGTTTGGTGATGGGCTTAAAAAATGGGGATACTATTTATTAGAGTCGTAAAAAATTAATAAAAGTACATCAATCTAACAAAAATTGTTTTGTTAAATTTGGTATAAATTATTGACTTTGTCAGTCCGCGTGACTGGGTGCGTGACGTGCAGACTATACGATAAGCGGGAATTCCACTTAACTTCCACAAGCGCGTTATGACTGATATGTATCGCCCCGTCCTACGGAATCCGGAGCGTTTTTTGGATTTCAGATTCCACAAAGCATCCTAGCTTCTTTAAAGAAGCATTTGAAGTAAGTAATTTTGATTCCGGATTCCGTTTCCATTGACGCGGATTCCGAATTCTGTTTTTCACCATTAGTACGAATCGTATAGTTGAGTTAAATGAATATATTTAACAATAAAATTACGCCACATAAGGTCATTATATAGCGTCATGTTCAGACATGAATAAACTCACGTGATGTTATGATATCAGGTCATTTCCATTGCGTCAATATTCCTGTTCGGTTTAAT